GTATAGGTCTAGATATAGATATACATATAGAAGCACACAGGTATTAATTATGTTAGTCTAAACAGTGACACACTTTCTGCTCACTGCTAAGCAACCTCATCATAGAAGAGGTAGTAAATTGAAATCTATGTCTGATAAAATATGTCATGCCCTCTCACAAAGTAAATTCACAAAAAGATTAATTTGGACTGGGTTTGCAAGAGTGATTAACTTGAATTGACACCACTGTGGGCAGGAAATCAAATGGTCAGCAAGGTCCCCAAATTATAAATCACATTGTGCCTACAGAAAAATGTTGCAGATAAATCACAGTGAGAAATGCCAGAATAAATCACTGAACTCATTTGAACTAAAAGCAATTTATTTGACTTTGCAAGCGATACAGAATGTTGCTTTCAGTTTTGTACACTTTCAAATAGTACATTGACGGGAAATTAGGGATGAGCAATAGGAATAAATCTGGCTTAAAGATATGCTATGTTAGGGTGAATCAAATATTTCTGACTTTATGTAATGACATAAAAGTGGGCTAGGTTTGAATTATGTTCAGCGATAAGCACAGAAAACTAATAGTGGCTTAAACATATAGAGATTTATTTGTTTGGGGTAACAAGAGGCCTGGAGGTAGGCAATCCAGAGTAGCTCATTCAGCTCTTCCCATCAAGAAGGATCTTTCCATCTTTTCCTCTCTACATCACCAGAAAATATATCTTTATCTTCTTAGCTGTGATTTTAAGGTGGCAAGATGGCTGCTCTTCTCCTAATCTCACATCCACATTCCAGACAGGAAGAAGGAAGAAAAGAAAAGGAGGAACTAGCAGTATCCCTATCAGGAGAACAAAGGCTTTCCCCCAAATCCCTGGCTGATTTTCACTTACCCGTTGGCCAGAACTGTGCCATGTGGCCACCTTAGCTGCCAAAGTGTCTGGAAAAATGGATATTATTAAGTAACACATTGTCAATTTAAACACACCTGGGATTCTGTAAGTAAGGAAGAAGGAGAGAATGCCTATTCAATGGGTAACTAGGAGCAGATGTGTTGATAAAGGTAGTATAGAAAAGGAAAAGAACTTCATAGAGAATAGAGATTTCAGAAACAAGTGGATTTAGGGGCATGGTGGGGTGGGGAAGCAGATCATCATAGAAAAGAGAGGAAAAGGACTTAGAGATCTAAAAGAAAAATAAGAATATTGTTAAAAGAGTTATTCATGTTTTGCAATATTATTAGGTTTATAAAATGTTTCAACACATTTCTAAATTACCTTTTAATGTGAGGAAGGTAGTTCCATTATGTTTCCACAAGCAATGGTCATCTGATAATTGACTAACTTTTTTTCTCAACTACAGCATTGATAAATACAAAAAAAAAAAAAAATAGTGTAGGTTCTTAGGGTAGATGGCTGGGGCAAAAGAAAGAAGGAAATAAATGGGTGTCCAATTCTCTACAAACATCAAATGCTGTAATTATTCTATAACTATTAAAACTTTAGATTACTTCAACGATATCAAAAAATGAATCACAGCAAAGCCAGCTGATGTGTCTTTTAAACAAATATTTCATTCTCTGAGGAAAACAATTTCCCCTGTGAATGCAATTTCACAGCCATAATAAATAACAACATTTTTTGGTGTTAGATAAAATGTTTTTTTAAACAGCTGTTTTTCAAAATGTAATCCATTCAATAAATGAGCTGACCTGAGCTAAACTTGTATTTCCCAAGACTAATGATAAACTGAGATCTTCTTTTCTCTTTTAGCTTGATATGCTTCAGTAAGCATGCTCGATGTATATCATTGTTGTTACCATAAATAAATTGATTAAAGATCATTTTGACAGCTAGAATTCTAAAGTTTCATGTAAACTTAAATATATTTTCAATACTAAAAAAATTTACTTAAACTTTCATATAAATCTGTGTTGGGTTAATGTGAATTTGAAAAATGAATGGATAATGCAGTATTTGCTATATTATTTAAAACAAGATTTTTTCTTTTTAAAATATATAAAATTCTTTAAGGGGTGCAATCTAATTCTATTTTCAGTATTTTATATCAACTGAAATAAATTAGTTATCCATTTGATAGCATAATTTAACATTTTTCTCATTTGGAAGGAAATATGCTTTACCTTCTATAAATCTGCATTTATTTTATGGGAAATACAAGTGATTTCAATAAACAAAGATTATAAATACAAAGTGTTATTCCTGTCTATCTCCTTAATATAATACCTATAGGAAACATTTTATTTACTTATGAGAAAACTGAATTTCTCTTATCGTCAATGTAGCTGATAGTAAAATATTGCCTCACGCACTAAAATGGTAAACAATTAAGCACAGAGGTAATTAAATAATAATTCCTTCAAGTGCTGTACAATAATTTTATATGTGAAAAGTATAGCAATTAACAAATAAATGCCATGGAACATATGTAGAGATATGTTATTCAAAAATAGCATGAAAGCTATTATAAGGCCCAAATCAATATTCTTTATTTATAGAATATACAGAAAAGAAATGCAAATTGTGTTATAATAACATTTCATACTGTGAAGAATATCTTTCAGAAATTTTAATCATGACTCAAAAAGTTTAAAAGGTTAAAGACAATTCTCAATTTTCTATAATAGAAAAATTGGGAGTAATAAAAAGACTTTATATTTGATTTTGGAATTTCTTTGTGTACTTAAAATCTGATAAGACTGTTTTCTGGTAATATGTATTAATATTGAAATTAAATTGTGATGCTCATTGTATAGCTTGTGCAGAGCTTGGAAATTTTATAAACTTATCAAATAGAGTTGAAAACCACAAGAAAGCTACCTATAGTAATAAAGAACCTGACTCCATTTTTGTCGTTTGTTAACAGCTTTCAAGCCTTACCCTTTGCTCTTCTGCCTCACATATGGGCACACTGAGAAAATTTAGGCATGCCCACCTTTGGTGCTGGCATGAAATTCAAACCGCAACGAGTCCTGGCCCATGTGTGCTGGAACCCTCACCCCAGTCCAACCATTTAATCGTAATAAAAGTAGAGTTAGTCTTCTTTCCTTTCTCTCTCAAACCATTTTTGGATCAGCTTGAGAGACTGCCCTGCTCTCCCCAGAAGCTTCAGAAAACCTCATTTTGTAATAAACCTCTTCATTACCTCATGGTGTGTGTGTGTGTGTGTGTGTGTGTGTGTGTGTGTGTGTATCAAATCTTGACATCCCAACCAAATTTTGTGTGGATACTGTGGGATAACCTCAACACCTATCTACCCAGAACAATCTGATCTAAAAATATCATAGCAAACTATTTAAGAAAGAACAGTAACATTTCATAAAGCCAATTCATACCTCACAATGGTGGATCTTATCATACCCTGAAGGCTCAATCTTTGTAAGATCAGTCCTACTATGCTAATTTTGAAGGCTTGAGAAACATTTATTGCACATGCATCGCTTAAGTAATTGTGCTAAGTGCTGGGATTGGAGGCATAGGGAAGAAAATCAAAAGTGTATAAAATACACTCCCTTTCCTCAAAGAGGAAGCCCAATAGGGACACACCAAACCCTAACACAATAACACTGTTAAATGCAATAAAGTACTATAGACATGATTATTTCTGCCTGAGATAGGTGGGGAAGGCAGCATTTGAGCTTGCCATTCATAGATCCACAGATTTTTATAGGTAGGACAAAGTGGCCTGGAATGGAGGAGACAAGAAAATTCTTGATGTGTTCAGGAAAATGGGAATGTGCCAGAGGAAAAGTGTTGGGTAGGGAGAGTAACCACATTTCCCTTATAGTAATATAACTCCTACAGCAGTATAGAAGAAACATTAGAAGCAGAGAACAGAGGAGGAAAGAACCATTAGGAACCTCATTTAATAGTCCAAGTGGAAGAAGAAGGCTTAATATAGGGCAGTCAACAATCAAAACTAAAATGAAGAGACTGAGAAACTCTTCTGAGTTGGAAGGACTTGGGAAATCGAATTTGGGGTTGTGGCTCTATAGTGTAAAAAATGCCTCAAGTTTTCTAAATGGTGAGTCCGATATTTATAGAAGAAAAACGAATACAGTGGAATTAAATTTGACTTTCCTGGTTAATTCTGCTCCGAAAGCTAAAACAATATAATAGGTACCAAGTATCCCAATGCCTTTAGCACAGAGTACTAGACCATGCTAAAAGATTAGAAAGTAGGTGCATGCTAAAAGATTATAAAGCTAGTTTTGCCAGCATTAGCCCGTCATATTACTTGAGGCTATACAGAGAATGTAAAGAATTCATTGACGAACTGCAGAGGCTGTAATAAGAATTCTTTTAAAGACAGTCGTAGGCATGCTTGGAAAAATACCTCCAGATCCCAGCCAGCATCGACACACTTGCAATGCACGAGAGGAGTGGGAGAGAACTCTCACCTCACCGGTGATACAATCCCTGTTCCTAGCATAATTGAGGTAGACTTCAAGAGATCTATTTGGAAGGCTTTACATGTATCCCCTGGAGTGTGAGGGATACAGAAAGTGGCATCTCATTCAACTGATGGCAAGGAGATGTGGCTAGCTAGATGGTCTGACAGCAGAAAAAAGACATGCTATGGTAGGCTGGTATGCATTTTCAGGGTTTGCTGAGGGAAAGGATAAATGAGTTTTCCAAGAGCCCATTGCAGACTCTAATTTCTCAAAGAAACTTATAGCGAGAACTCGAGAGCATTTCATTTGCCCCGTGAGAACACTGGTCTGTCTCTAGACAATTCGAAGCTTCTTTTGGCGACCTATCTTCTTTATTATTATTATTATTTTTCGTCTTCTCTGTTTCAAATCTACATGGAAAAACTACATTCAGACGTAATAATAGCAACGGAAAGCCCTGGAATCAACAAGGTTCTGTGCTTCCCGAAACGCAGCCCAAGACCGATACGCCAGGCGACTAAGTGTGAGCTCCTGGGCACCCGTAGGTCGGATTCGCAGGCTCCGGCTCCGGAAGTGACCGCCCCGCTCGATCTCCTCTCCCGGAATGCAAGCTCCCACAGCCACCCCACTGTAGTCAGTAAACCATTAGAAGACTGAGAACATGGAGGCAGCACGCCCTCCCTCGAGGGCAGAGAAGTTCGTGGTGGTCGGCGGTGGCATCGCGGGTGTAACCTGCGCGGAGCAGGTAGGGCTGGCACGCAGGCGGCTCCGCTTCGTCGACCCCGCAGGAGGTGGTGCTCAAGGCTCCCTCCTACCCACTCCTTAGTCCTTCCTGGTCCCTTTAGAAGCTTTCTAACCCCGCTCTCCTTCCTGCTCCCAGATATTAGAGACTGCGTGGTGGCCCTGAGCTGATGTCCTTAGTACCTCGCAAACTTGAACCTCAGGCGCATGGAGGACGGGTAACGAACAAGTTGTTGGGAGAGAACCCAAAGCTCACTGAACCAGGCAGGCTCTGGTCCTAGTAATGTCAGAGCAGACAAGAGGGCTTGTAACTAGTAAATACTTGGTCAGGAAATTCAGCCCCCTTTTAAATTAGATGATTGAATTCAGCTTCCAGATAGGTGTCAAGTCCTTAGTGCATCATGCCCCTTACGTAAGTTTCCTATACTTTGAACTCCCAAGACGGGATTGATGTTATCTCTAGTAATCTTTTGTAAAACAACCAGCAAGGGATTAAATGCAGCTAGGGAATGCTTTTCTGATTATAATGACTATATATACATATATTTCAAAAAGGACTAAATTATTTTGATATTAAGGAAACGTAAGCAATCACCGGTAATAAATAGTGCAAGAAATTTACAGTTTAATTATTTTGTTTGTTTTTTACTTTTAATCTTTGGATGGGTATTTTCCATTTATTTACCAAGTAAACCCCTATGACCCTGGCACTAACTATTCTGCTGTGCTAAGGGCTGAATAGTCAAATATAAAACAGCATGATACCTCCTTTGTAGGGACTAATAGTAGCTTAGTGGAAAAGACATGTAATCAAATCATTTCATTAGTGTGTTTGCTATCTTAGGGGTGCCTATGGAGTTGGTAGGGAGTGAGGGAAGAGGTATCTTTTTTTAAAGGAGATACCTTTTTGTCTCAGTGTAGAAGAATGAGTAAAAGTTCACCAGGTAGATGTGAAAAGATAGACATTCCAAAGAGAGGCAACAGTAGAATCTCAGGTGAAAAAGCGTGGCATCCTCTGGGAGAAGCAAAGTATGTATTGGTGATGACTAAAGATGAAGCCAGGAAGGTTGGCAGAAACCAGACCATAAGGGATGCTAAGAATTTAACAAGAATTTACAATAGATGATTTTGAGCAATGGAGTACTGTGATCAAATGGAAATTCTAGCAAGATGATTAGTTATAATATGTGGGGCAGGAGCAGCTGGTTAATATGAGACTGGAAGGCCAATTTAAAGGTGACTTCAGTAGTTTAAAGAAGTTTCCAAGGCCTAGTCTAGCAATGGAAACAGAAAGGGAAAAAATTACAGAATATATAAAGGAAAGAAAGATGAGGAGAGTGATAATATTGGCAAATATTGTAGAATGTTTAAGGCGATATTAAAAAATATGGGGTTTTGAGAATGTGTAGGTGAATCGAATATGCTGTTTTGTTTTTTTTTAATTATTAGTTTCAGGTATACAGTTCATTGATTAGACATTTATGTAGTTTATAAAAGATCGCTCTAATTGCTCTTTCTCTTCTCTAGCTCTCCACCTAGCCGTTGTATTAATGCTAACTGCATTCCCTGTGCCGTGCTCCCCATCCCCATGACCATCTATCAACTACTAATTTGTACTTCTTTAACCCTTCATGCTCAATTTTAATATCTCTAGTTCTAGCGATAAAACTATAGATTGGTAGAATTCAGGAACAGAAACATGAGTTAGGAAAATGCTTTTATGAAGTTTAAAGTGAGAAAGAAGTTTGTAGTTAGAGGAAAATGGTGAAATGAGCAAGTCAAACCACTAAATTTTGTAAGGTCAATATTAAAATGGCTTGGTCTTCTCAGAAGATATACTGGCTGGACATTTGGAAGAGGCAGGATAAGAGTGCCAAAGCACTTGAGAAAAGTCAGGCTAAGATTCTAAATCTTTATTATTTTCTGTAATTTTATCCTGCTGAAAGGCAAATGAAAATATTTTACAATAAATAGAAGTTGGTTTAACTGTTATATAGGAAGATCATTTCTTCTTATCCTCCGCATGATAACTTAAATTGGCATATAAAATTGTTTAAGTAAATTAGAAATACCTCTTTATGTCACTTCTCTTATTCAAATCTTTGTTAGCATTTAGTGCAAATATACTACTGCTCATCATCCTATAAACATGATGAACAAGACCCAGGATCAGGATAATAGAGACCTTTAGATGAGGAACAGTGAGTTTTTAGTTTCCTAGGTTAATAACATTATTAAAATTGCATTATCCCTATCTCACACCCAATGCTAAATATACTAATACCTAAAGTGATTTATCATATTTTTTCCTACTTTTTTAAAAATAAGTTGGCGATTCAGTTTCCATCAGAAGATATTCTCTTGATAACAGCTGCTCCTGTTATTAAAGCAGTTACAAACTTCAAGCAGGTAAGAACCTTTGTATCACTTTCTTAGTATTAATTTTAAAAATTGCAATTACTTCCATAGCAGTTAGTGTTAACTATAGTATTTTGTTTAAAATGACAAATGTTCTTTTAATATTCATTTTAAAATCATAGTTCAAAGTTTAGAATTCTTCCAATTGAATACCAAAGCACCCAGTATAATACTGAATTGAATTTCTAGTCTACTGTTTTTTCCCTCCTGTCTTTTCTTCCCATTATGAATTACTTTTCAGAAAACTTAAAATAAGATTCTTTTGGGGGGAAAGATGCTATGAAATCTAAATATGAATGCAAATATCTGTGTATATCTTCATGGTAAATTGTGTGTGTTATTTGTATTTACAAATCAGAAGTGCTTCTGAGCCAAGTTTACACTTGTAGATAGTGTTTCGGATGTGTAATAAGCATCTCAGAACACCGTGGTTCCATGAATTTATATTACACATGTTATAACACTGTAATAGGAGTCTAAGATCATTGAGGTCAGTATCGTGGAAGAGTGGTCTCTAAACATTTTTGATCCTGTACCTCAACTGTTCAAAAGTTTTGGTCTCATATTCTCATATGCGTGCATTTATATATTTATAAATTACATGTGTTTCAGTGGCTACACTTAAGAGTATTATAATGCCTATGCAAAAAATAAATGAATAAAAAAAGTGAAAAACAAATCTTTTCTTCCCATACTTCAATGAAGACTACTATCATAGTCTTTGATTTAATACGAGTTTTCCTTTATAATATTCTAATAGAGTATAACTTTTTTTTTTGGCATTTTTGTCTAAGACTTATTATTCATATAAAGGTTAATAGATTTAATGCCAAGGAAGAAAAACCACCTTCCCCCTAGCCATCTCCTACAGACACACCTTTCTAATCTTAAAGTATATTTTATAAAAATTATTTTACATATTATCTCCCAGGGAAGAGATCAATATACTGTTAACCCACCTCATTCTCATATGTAAACTCCTAAGGTTTACATAAACTCCTAAGACCAAGGGGAAGTTAGTTGCCCATGTTGCTCCTTTATAACCTGCCTATAGATACATAAAATGTCTTAGTACCTAAGTACAGAAAAAGAGTTATGGGATTTGAAGACCCAGAGAACAATTTCTCTAAAAGAAAATAGCATATTCAATTATAAGCTTAAGCATTCATCCATAAGAGAAAAGTGAATAGCTAGGTCTTATAAATGTCTTTCCAGAAGACTTAATTTGATGTAATGATCCCAGAGTTATAAGACTTGAGTTCAGTTTTTGCCAATTTTTTAACTTTTATACAATAGAAGAAAATAACTTGGGTTCTAGGCCTTTTATTTACTTGGCAAATCTCTGTACCTGAGTTGCTTTACATGTAATATTAGGGTGATATACTCCTTGCTTACTTAACAAGGTTGTGGGCTTAAAATGTACAGCAGGTCCTTGAGTAACATCATTCTGTCATTTTGTTAAAATGTTGATGAGATGCCATAGGAATTTAACTCTTGATTTTATCAATCAGCCTGTGGTAAAATTGGTTTTGTTATACATTGTTTCACTTAAAGTCACACAACCTATTGATGATGTTAAGTAAGGACTTACTGTACTAACATGTAAAAGTACATTGAAATAATAAATATGCAAATGTCAGTTATTCTTGGTGTTTAGAAGTCAGAAATTGAATCATTCATTGAGCATCTGTATTATATATCAATCAATGTGCTAGGCACCCAGGATACAGAAATTAAAAGTATAGAACATAACCAAAAAGACACTGGTGGTTATCTCAGAGGTAGGGGGAAATGTGAGAGCTGGAAAGCAGTAAAGAGGGATTTTAACATTTTATACTATATTATGACTTGTTTATTTTTTTAGTGTTAAAAACAGCATGTATTCCTGACTTGTATAATTTTTAAAGGAGAATAAATTACTGTTAATAATAATTCACATTATTTATGGAACACTTAGTATATACCGTTTTTCTAAATGTTTTAAATATATTAATGTATTCTTAACCTTATGAAGTAGGTTTTTACATTAACCTCATTTTACAGATGAGCTTAAAAAGTCACAGTGAGGTTAGGTACATTTTCAAGGTGTATATAGTCAGGTTTTGAATATAGGCACTTTGGCTCTTGAGTCCTCATGATTAATGAATAGCACTTTCTCAGAATGGTTACTATATATCGGGGCAACAGATAATCAAGGAGTAGTTATACAGTATAATTATCCCGACAGGCAAAAAAATTGAGGTCATATTCCAACATATGTATATTTTCATATAATAACACTGTTAATGAATGCTGAAGCCTGCCTTTGAGAATCAAGGAAGGCTTTACTTAGGAGGTTGCATTGAAACTGAAACTTAAAGAATAAGTAGGTTTTACCATGTTTGCAGCGGTCAAGTGGATGTAGGCATGCGCCAAGGTGCGTGAAAGTGTATGTATGCCTATGTAATGTGCTCTAACAGGTACCAGTTCAGCACTGCTGGAGTGTGATGTGAGGTTAAACCAATAGGCAGGGGCCAAGTCATGACAGGCTTGCATACCACAATATGGAATTGCATTTTATTTAAATTTAAATGATGCCAAACTTCTGGAGCACTTTGAGCAGGTGATAAGACCAAGGTAGAGATAACAATTTTTTATTCATCATTCCCTCAGTGTCAGCTGAAGCCACAGGCATGGGTTGCAGTTTCCCAGGAAGGTGCATAGAGTGAGAACACAGTGGTGATGTCCTATGGAACACTGACATTTAAGGGGAGATTAGAGAGAAAGGAGAAATTTAAAGTGGCCATTCTTCTTCTTAGTCTTAGATCTAAAGGGAAAACTGACAGCGGAATCCCTGAGGCCAAGAAAGGCCCAAGTTTCAATTAAGAGGAGTGATCAGTCATGTCAGATCCTGTAGAAGTCAGGTAAGATAATGAGTCAAAAGTAGCAATTTCTAAAAAATGAGTGGTGACTTTGAGATACTTTACACTGTTTTGAGAAATTAATGGGAGGTAACTCTAAAATAACTGTAAACATTGTTCTCATGAAATTTGACTGTGAAGGGAGAAAAGACAGGGTGGTAGCAAAAAAGAGGACATGAGGTCTAACATTGAGTTTTATTTTTTCATGTGGAATATACTTAGCATGTTTACCTCTTGAGATTAAGAAACTAGTGGGGAAGGCCGAAGATGAAGGATGGGAAATGGAGCAGCTATTAATGGATTCACTTCAAGAAGTTGAAAGTGGGTCAAGGAAGGTGGATGATAGCAGAGAAATTAGATAATGGGAAAGTAGTAATAGTTCTTAGTAGCTGCTTTAAGCCTAGAAATAAGGTGATTTGTTGAGAATAAAGAGGATGAAATGTGTTTGGGGAACATTAGAGTGGTGGAAGTTTGAAAAAAGTCACTGAAGGATTAGAATATGTTACCAAGTTCTTATTTGCTCTTCTTATTTGCTCTTATATTGACATTTGCACCGATGGTAGGAAAGCAATAGTGGCAAAAATACTAGTGGTCATCGCATTCTTCACTGCCACACAAGCTGTTAAAAAATAAAAGCCAGTAAAAAATGTTAATTTTATTAAATCTTTACTCTCAAGTGCACATCTTGTTACTATTCTGTATGATGAACTAGGATGCATGCATCAAGCACTTCTGCATACAAGAGTGCAGTATTGTCTCAAGGAAAAGCCATTGGGGAGTTGCTGAGTTGCAAGATGTACTTTTTATCTTGGGACATCAATTTTACTTGAAAGAACAACTGACAAATTATGGTCATTCATATTTGGAAAATGAAATGAACCTGTCACTTCAAGGAAAACAACTGACAGTATTTGTTGCCAATATGACAAAATTATAGCTTGCAAGCAAAAATTGGAGATTTTGGAAAACACATTCTTCACTCTGAGTCATACAGTACTTAAAGACTTTACTGATTAGATTGTTGGTGATAATAATGAATGTTATTTTTTATATTGCATAGCTATGAAATGTGTCAGTATTTGGAAGATCTCTGTAACTGAACCACCATTGTCCATATGAGCAGTGTGTGATGTTTCAGGATCCATTCAAAATGCAGGATAAACCAATGGATTTCACAGGAATAGAGTATGAAGAATTCTTTGATATGGTTTCAAATTCTACATTGCATCTAATCTTTAAGAAACCATAACTTGTTGAGTCTTAACGATGCATTAAGAAAGAATATACAGCTACCTGAAAGGGCTGCATATTTGTAAGAGGCCAAAACAACATATTACAATAGTTTCAATGCAAATGAAGACTGTAGGAGCAGTTTGCAGTTATCTTCTTTTAAGCCAGACATTAAAGAGATACTTAAAAATGTAAAATAGTGCCATTGTTTTGTTATGGAAAAAGTAGTTATTTTTCATTAACAGCATATCTGTTTAACATATACCGGATTTATTATTTAAGTGAATTAAGAAATATTTAAACTTTTTCTTAGCTTTAATTTCTAATGCAGCAAATATTGCTAGGTATAACTCAAGCAAACAAAAGTCCATTGGGGATCCTCAGTCATTTGTAAGAGTGTAAAGGGATCTTGAGGACGAAGGTTTGAGAATTGCTATGGTCATATAGTTGGATGTCTATGCAGTGTTTAAAGAACAACTGATGCTGGATACCAATATGCAAGGTATGTGGTTCTTCCATAGCAGACTGGAGAAAACAGGTAGTTTGATCTATGGTTGGAAATTTTCAGGGTAATTAATGGTTGAGGATAAGAGAACAAGGAAATAAAGGGTTTGGGCAAAAGATGAAATGATTCCTAGTGGACTCTTAGCAGGATAGGAGGGAAATCCAAGAGGATACTGATGATTTTGGAGAAGAGGAAAAAGTCCAAAGGCTCAATCGTAATAAGGTTACCTAGCAAGTGGAAGAAGAAAGCTACAAGGGTAAGGAGATAGATAAGCTGTTTGATTGAGTGTTGCCCTCATTTTACAGGCCAGTAAACTAAGGCTCAGTGACCTACCTGACTTGCCCAAGAGTCTAGTGTTTGAGTTCATCTTAGGACTAGTGTTTGAGTTCATCTTAAAATGCAGAGTCTAGCCCTCTTTCCACTGTCTATAGTGCAGCTGGCCAACTTTCTTATTTTATGAACATGAAATAAGTAGTGTATAAAAAGAAATGAAAATATTTTTATTTAAAATTCTCGAAAGAAAAAGTTTTTATCTTTTTACCTCTTTGATTAATACAGGTTTCTAAAGTATTGGAAAAATTTGATGTTGAAGAACAACCAAGTACCATGTTAGAAAACCGCTTTCCCAACATTAAGGTTATAGAGTCTGGAGTAAAGCAACTGAAGAGTGAAGAACATGTAAGAGAATTTTTTTCTTAATGACGTTTTCCTTTCTTACATCTTGGTGAGGTTTTGCCTGTCTTCCTTTGGCCCCGCCTGTAACACCACCAAAATCCCTAGCAAGTAAATTTTAGTGATGTTAATTTCCATTATTATTAGAAAAATTTACACATTTTTGTGAGTTTATTGAGATTTATATAATTAGTTTAGCTTGGCATTTTTTTTAGGTTTTATCTTTCAAATTATTGTCAACATTTATATAGCATCTAGTGTTTTCTGCGCACTGCATTATGTGCTAGGTAGGACACAACAGCAATAATATAAAGAGCCTGCTCTTGAGAGTGTTCACTGTCATACGGCAGGGATTCCCTGACCTCGGTACCTGTTAGGAACCGGGCCGCACAGCAAGAGGTGAGCGGCAAGCAAGCAAGCAAGCAAGCAAGCAAGCAAGCAAGTGAAGCTTCATCTGTATTTGCAGCCACTCTCCAGTGCTAGCATCACTGCCTCAGCTCCACCTCAGATCATTAGACTCTCATAGGAGCACCAGTCCCTGGTGCCAAAAAGGTTGGAGGCCGCTGCCATAGGGAATATAGACATGCATACATATAATTATATGGACACATGAGAAGGAGTCATTGAGATAGTGTCAAAGTTCTGATATTAGATATTTAGGAAGATGTCACAGATCGAGTAGTACTTGAGTTCTGTTTTAAAAGATGGGTCAATTAAGAGTTCTCTAGATGGAGGGGGGCATTTCAGGAAGAGGAGAATACATGTTCAAAGACCCAAAGAAAGGAAACGGGCCACATGGTACAGTAAGGTTGTCAAGGGGATTGGGGCGGGGATAAGTAAAGGAGATTGGCAGACAAAGCCAGAGAAATAAGTAAATGAGATTGTGAAAAGCTTTTTATGTCATGCTAAGAAATTGAGTTTTTATTTTATAAACAATGGAGAAATAATAAAGAGATTTTAAGTGGAAGCAGTGATGATGAAATAGATATTCTTTTAGGAATATCTGACAGCAGTGTCAAGGAGGAACTGGGGTTGAGTGAGTGGCTGGAGGCCAGCAACCAGATTAGAAAGTGGTTGCAATATTCCAAAATGATATAATGCCCAAACTAAGACAGTCTCAGGAATAAGGCAGTCTCAGAAAAGGATGTTATCAGATGATTAACAATATCCTCACATGAGCTTTAAGAGAGATGGGAAATAGAGTCTGTAGTTGTTTCTCTAAAGCAGCTTTAACTTGTGAATTCTCCCTTAGGGATAAAACACTGTATACCACATTTGAAAGACAAATAATTTGACAGAAAAAAATTTAAGAGAAAGAACTGAATTTTATAAGAAAAAAATTAAAAACCTGATTCCCCAAACCAGAGTAAGTTCCTAATACTTACAGTAGTAGTACTTCTTCAGTATAACATCCTCTTCAATCAATTTGCAAATTGAGGTAAGCTTGAAAGTATACTAATGAATTGTGAGGGATTTTATATATCAAGACATTTGAATCAGAGTGCCGTCCATTACCATTTGAAAAGTGTCCTACATGAGACACAGGTCTGTATCCTCTTATCCATCCTTTATATTGTTTATCGCATTATAGATAATGTGTTTTATCTTCGTATCTGCTTCCAAAAATTCAACAGTAGCCAGTCAAGAGTTTTTATTTTTACAGTAGCTAAATGCAAATTCTTTCTTAAATTTGGTCAGTGGCTATAACTAACTTCTGTTTGTCAGATAAAATTCTAATCAGATTATCTGAAAGAATACTTGTATGGAATTTCTATATGGGTTATACTATGTTTGATTATTGGTTTTAGGTATTTGTTATGCAGCTGAAGAGTTAACATGGTAACAGATGTCTCAATGAGTAGTAAGTGCTGTGTCATGATTTGCCAAGTTTTATAATTCCAAACACAAGGCACAGACGTTAACTCCTATGCCATCCCTACACCATCCAACAAAGTCCAGCATCTCTCATAGCATGTGTATCTGCTTTCTAAATGCTATCACTTATGTGTAGTTTCATTCAGTATTAATGAACAAAAACAATGGATCTCTAATGTATATTTTTAAATTCATTTATATTATTAAAAATATAAGTAACTTTAAAGCCTGTGCATGCTAGAATTTAAGGTTAACATATTTGTCACTTATGTGAAAATATAATCCCCAAAGAATATATAGTTTGCTGGTAAAGTGATTGCTATTAGTATTTAAGAATATAAAAAGTTTTTTAGCACTTCTAATCTTTTTAGATAAGAAGACATTGTAACTTCTACCACACTACTCCCCTGTACCCATAACAGATATTAAGATATGTTAGTTAGATTCACTAGATCTTCAAGTAACTTCCATTGAGATCAAAAATGTTCATCAGAATGCTCAATTTCAAAAGTTCTAAATTTTTAATTTTTAATCTTAGGTCAACATTCCCAATATCATGAGATTCCCTAAGTTTTATGCAAAATTTCATGTGACTACGCCTTTTTTCCCAAGAAAAAAGACTAGTTTTCATCATTTTCAAAATGGTTTATAGCTCTAAAATGATTAAGAATCACTGGATTGAAGAATGCATTCTCATGTTTGGTAGCTTTGCAATCGCTGTATTGAGTGCAATATTGAGTGCCACCAAGAGGCAACCTTAATATATTTTTTGCTTTTGTCTTTTTAAAATGAATTGTACCCGTATATAAATGTTTTTTCTTCCCTTCACTGCCCTATGTTTTTACAGTGCATTTTAACGGAAGATGGCAGTCAGCACGTGTATAAGAAACTCTGTCTGTGTGCTGGAGCTAAACCAAAGTTGATATGTAAAGGAAATCCTTATGTTTTAGGAATCCGTGATACAGACAGTGCTCAGGTAACATTTTGAGGTTGGATCATGGGATATATGAAGATTCTTAGGCTTTTCTACATTTAAATCACAGTATTCCACTCTTGTTAACTCCTAAACTGTAGAAGAGAGGTTTTTTTTCCTTGATGACACATAAACCAGAAAGTAGTTATAATGTCATTACGGCCAGTTTCAGTTTGTTTTTAGTTGATAATTTTTTATTCATGACAATGTTTTCTGTTCCTTGTTATGCAACTTTTAGATGTAACGGTTATGCTGAAGATTACAATTTGCAGTATGCACATATTCATTAATCTATTCTGACTGGGAATATGTGATTTGCAACCTAATTATGTAATGATCTTTTTTCCCAAAAGGCGAAACATATTAAAACTTACTGAACTTACTCCTCAGCAAAGAAATTAGTAGTCAGATCTTTGTGGTACAGAACCATGACACAGTCCTAAAACTGAAGAAGTCACTGGGTTTATCGTTCTGCGCAAGAACAGTGGTACTATCCCAGTAAGGTGAAACTCTATCAGTGGAACCTTATCCAACTTTTGGTAATTTATTTCGGAGTTTGTTGGTCCTTATTACCAAGAAGCTCTTCCTGGTTTCGAATCACAGTACTCTTGTCTTACTTACCTGAAGCTCGTTGTTCTGTCCCATGCGGTGATACATTTACAATTACATAATGTTTTATCATCTTGGAAATTGATAGTTTACTTTCAGCCTGTTCTTAAATAATTAGGAATTTAGAGAAAACCAGACTCGATTATCTTCTTGTAAATATTTTAGGTTCGTATTATCAAAGACTGCGTTCATAACTATGTTCCAGCAATGCCCTCTACGTACATGAACTCATTGAATCCTCATTATAATCCTGTGTGATAGCCATTATTCCCGCTCTACAAATAGGAAACTGAGATGGAAAGATTAAGTAATTGACCCATACTATGGTAGTTATTAAGTTTATCAGTAGTTTAAACTCATGCCACTTATCTCTCCATGTCCAGTGCTCTTTACAGATCTTGCTTAGATTATCTACTGCCCTCAATGAAGAACAAATTAAAATTGGTTTTTTTTTTTGTAGAATTTTAAGTAAGCTAATCACAGTGGTTATTTATTGAATATTATCATACATTTTGAGGTCAATTTAATAGAAATGGTAACTTGACATAGGAGGAAGAATTTAGCTATTCAGAAATCCTGAAGCAATTGGACTATTCTGTACTTTTGAAAGCTCGTTGTGATCTCTGGTGGGGGGAGTGGGGAGCATGGGAATGTGGAGGTCTTATAATTGTAATAATGTAACATTTTAAAAAATAAATGTTAGACATTATTAAGTGCCTGCTACTCCTAACGGCTTACTTAATGCTTACAGAACCCTTAAGATATAGTCGCTTTTTATTTATGGGTGAAGAATGTGAGCCACGGGAGGTTAAGCAACTTGCCCAAGTTAGTAAACTGCTAGAACCAGGGACTCTGTGCTCCTAACCACCATGCTGCTATCCTTCTCAAGAATTCCTGCAAGTTTTAAGTGCCGAGTGACTGTAGGGAGTATCAACTGTGTGAGGGACTTAAAGAAAAGGAAGAATCCCGTTATCTAAGATACAGATCAATGTCATGTTAGTAAATTGATTTGGTCAAATAGTTGGGAATGTTGTAAACTAAAGACAGTGCCTCTTGATGAAATTCAGAACTACTACTCTAAATGTAATGACATAAAAGACAAAATCAGGAGAGGCATTCCTATAGAGGCATTTTGAGGTGGAACATTGAGGGGAACATTTGTAATAATTGGGAGGGTGCATCCTGGCAGAGTGGGAAAGTGAAATTGTCAGTGAAGCCTCTTGCTTCTGATATTGCCCACTATATAAAACACTGTCGTTTTCTTTTTAATATAGGAATTTCAGAAGCAGCTTACTAAAGCTAAGAGAATAATGATCATAGGGAATGGTGGTATCGCACTTGAATTAGTGTAAGTATATATTTTTAAATATTTAAGAACTCCTCTGTGATTCGTGTGATTATTGGCAGACTAGAAAAGATCTTGTTAGCCTGAAAAACAAAGATAAATATAATTGTTTTTCATATACTCAAGAAGAAAAATCCACTTTATTTTTTTAGCTTCCATAGAATTCAGAGTTATAGAAATGTCCTTATAAAACATGAATTTAGGGAATGCTTTAGGTCTCAAAGGGTCATACACTGGTGAGTGGCTAGATTTGACCCATATGTGTTTTATAAGCATGTACTATATTACTAGTCATAATCCCCACCATTTTTTATTGCTTGTACTCATCCTGGTTCACTTATCTGTGTTAACTTTTCTGGATCATGAAACCCAAAGGTTTGTGATTCATGTTTCAGGTTATGTGGTACTCCCAGCTCTTGGTTTTTGAAAGTTTAGAAAATGCAAACACATTAATTAATGAAATATTATCATCTTAAGATATTTCAAGTTCAAAAACCATTGAAAATATCCTGCTGTTGTCTACAAGAGCATTGGTTCACTTTCTTTGTGATTTATCTTCCAGTAGATGGCTGACATGGAGAAATATTCCAGATATTTTTCAGGCCAGAAAGTTGGGTCTGACTTCAAAAAGGATAAATTTGTATCAATAAGGAATCTGCCAAAGCCCTGTCTTTGTTCAATTTCATCCATTCCAAGCCACAGAGTAGTCTT